AGACTCAAGCCTTCGTTTATTTAATGCCTGCGAAGACACGGTGTTCACTATTTTTGTGACTACGCCCATTATTTTACAACGAAGGCGAGACAATGCTTTCCACACAAAGCCTGTTGATTAATGATGCACTGGAATTCAAGAATCGAATGTCTTTTGTGGATTTTGTTGATTAATGTCCGTATTTTTTGAACTTTTGGGCTATATTGTTGGTTGTGAATATATCTAGCTTTGGTCTCCAATTTTAACGAAAAAGAGACTGTTTCGATTAGGTAGTAACTACTACTAGTATTTGAGGTATTGGGTCATCAATTAAATTAATACCGTGCCCAAATTATTTTGTTGCGTGCCATCAATGGCTCGCGTGCCTTAGGTTTGCCAGCCCTGCCCTATAGCTTTGCCGAATTTTGCAATTCGGTCCAGCGGATTTGAAAGGGGAAAACGGGCTTATAGCATTCATGCTCTTTTCCCTGCTCACAATAGAGTCCAAAACCTTCTGTTTGTCGGTTCGAACTAGTGGAACATGGAGCGGTTGGACCTGGAGTGCAGCCCGGGAAGTGAGTTTTGACTAGTGTCTCCAAGGAATCTTTGGCTGAGTTTGTCCACACACCATTATTTTTTTTTTATTAAAGATAGGTTGGTGTGTTCTTGGACATGGTTGCCACTTATTTAAAATAAAAAAAGCATTGTTTAATATGCAATTTTCCAACAAGAATCTGCAACTTCCCCTCCAAGTAAACTGCGCTTAAAATTTTCTATGCTTACATTTTCTGGTCTGCATAAAAGAGATTTTACATAAATAAGCTTCGCAATGCGTGTTGAGTGGATAATCCTTTGTAGTACAAAGGACGTGTTACACATTGTTTTCGGTAAAAAATCTAAAGCCAGAAAATGATGAAAAAGGTAGTGCTTAATTATTTTTTGCGCAGGTATAATTTATTAGATTGCTGAGATGCGAGAAAAGTAATAAAATATTCTCTTGCTTAATTTTATTAAACATAAGTACATAAAAATAGTTCCTTTATTTTAGATATTCTTACTATTTACTCTGTCTTTCATGCGGTAATGGCAGAGCACAAATTTATCATCTTAGTTAATAGATCGGTGGCAACCCTACTAAAAAATATTATGTTAGTATTAAAGTTTACTCAAACACCTTCCTTTTAATACCCGTATTCTGATATTAATATCATAGTAATACATTATAAATACTTACGAATCACACTTTGCATTTGGGAATAAAATGTAATGTAAAATACATTTTTCAATTGATTTATTTTTGAAATACGATCTTATTTAAGTTATGTTAAACATACGATTTACAAAATAAACTATTGGGTATATAAAACTAAATTTGTGTGAACCTAGTTTAACTTACACATGGTAAAAACGAGGTGTACAAAAATTTGCTGGCATTGACTTAACTAGGGTAATATCACATTTTTCATGCTTATTTAGAAAATCAGTTAAAAAAATGTGTACAAAACCTATGCATGTAGGTACATACATATGTAGAATATATGTTTTTGTATGTATAAATTTATGGAAATATAGTATTACAAATGTATATATTATTATTATGGGCCAAACGCAGCGCAACCTCTAGAGTGATCTATTGTGCGTAAAACGATATTACGTATGTATGTATATACATATGTACATACCTATGGACATAGGTGAAAAGGCAGTTTTGGTGATTGGTTTATGAATTACAAAAATAATTTAATCGTTGAAAAGATGCCGCCGGACTTATTCGGTTTTTCGTAACCAAATAATCATATTTCTTTGTAAGTTGTTGATCTGTTTCACACGCGCCACGGGCTAGGTCCGGTAATTAGGTAAAGGGCCCAGAGCGTGAGGAACGCAAAAACACATTTTGTGCTCGGAATCGAGAAATCAGCAGTTGAAATGTTTTTGTTGTTGTTACTTCAAATGAAAGAAAACGTTACTTATCAATGTTTTTCTAGAAAAAACGAAAATACATAAATTTGAAACTTGTCTGGGTACAGATCACATATGTGGTAACAATTTCTTTGCGAATTAATAAGAAAATCATACGAAGGACTTAACACAGATTCGTAAAGAAAATTCTGAAAGCTTTCTTTGTAGTACATCATTATTATCATTACCTTACTGATTTTCTTTCGAAATTTCGTAGAAGAATCGAAGTGTGCACAATACGTATATTTCATATTAAAAAATTCGGCATAAAATCGGAAAAGGATATAGTGGTTTCTGTATGAATTCTTTAAGATTTCTCTACTATTCAGATTACTCTGAAAGTATGGTTTGCAGCTATGTTACAGCATCACATACATATTTGCATTTGCATGTATTTATAGGAAAGAGTGTGATTTCTCGAAGGTCTGTTTAAACAACCCTCAGATACGACCACTATATATTACATAGAGACATATGGTGCGTTCAGAAATGCATCAAGCCAAAGCATCAGTCTCTTTTACTTCTAAACTATAACTGATGGAAATGCCTTATTTACGCAACTAACTTCCAATTAGGTATTTAACCGTGGTTGCGCATATTGGACATTTCCATCAATTATAGTTTAGAAATAAATGCGTCTGATGCTTTGGTTTGATGAATTTCTGAACACACCCATACCTAAATACATATGTAGTTGCTTACAAGGGCGTAGCCAGGATCTGATGTTGGGGGGGGAGGGCAAACTAAATATACTTGCTAATTTTTTTGATATATTTTTTATTCAATCATTCTTACGCTAATAACGATTTTCAGCAAACTTTTCGATTATTTCCTCCTGAATCTACTCGCGGTTTTCGGTAACGAGTTTCCTATGGACGCTCATGAGGCATAGTCCAGAAAGCCTTTCTCCTCCTGAGTGCTTCTGAACCAAGTTTCTACTCTACATAGTGAACTAAACGATCGCTCCACAGTCGCTGTTGTGCATGGAAAAGCACTCAAAATATATAGATCTATATTCAATATGTTTCAAATATTCTTCGGACAAGTTCTTCGGAATGAGTTAACTTCCCATACCTAGGTCATAGAACTGTTGAAAATGCTTCGAGTTCTTTTGTACCTTTTCACTAGAACATTTAATTGTAAGAGACACTCAAATAGGTGTTTCATTCAATTCTGTACCAATTCAATGCTTAACGCTGTGCTTACTTCATTGTATCAACGATGAAAAACGCAGGCTTTATGTGGAAATTGCGAGGATAGTTACGAATTCGATTACGCACAATTTAGTATTTTTTATTATTATTGATTTTTCAAATTTTCTCCTTCCCTTTGTAGCTGCCTCCCCCCGCCGCTACCTGGCTACGCCCATGGTTGCTTATCTAAAGTGATGTTTATGTTGATCCTATCTATTGTCAAATTGTGACTCGAAAATCGTTAATCGTAGGTATATTGTATTTGCAGGATATATGAACGTACATATTTATGTACATACAGTGACGAGCAAAACTGTAACATGGTTTAACACTTTTTGTTTCAGCCACCGCTATATTTCCAAGTTCTAACGACTTTCATCCTTTTGTTGAATATTCTTGTTGGTACATCCCTACTCCCTCTCTCATAATGATTTGAAGTCAATACAACAACAATAAAAAAATCAGCAGACAAAAATGTAAATTAAGGCAGATGTTACAGTTTTGCACTCATATATTTTAAAGAGCTTTTAACAATTTCCACGAAAAAAAAGAACTACTAACACAATGTTCAGTACTCTTTTGCCTGTTTCAGTTCCTGGATGTGATTTGGCATACCTTATTTGTATCTCTGTAAAAATTCTGGAGGTATATCCTTAGTTTGCTTTCACAGCTCATGTACTCGATTTTACGGACTTTGATACTTATTAAGCTGTGCTTTTAGTTGATTTCGCAAATTCTCGATGAGATTCAAGTCCGCGGTTTGTGGAGGTCATTTCAAATTAGCAAATTTTTGCTTTTGTATCCAGTCTTTGCGAACATATGCAGTATGTTTTGGGTGATTTTTCAGCAGAAACTCTCATTTTTCGACTACATCTTGCAAATTTTGTTGAAATATGAACAGATACTGTTCCTTACGCATAATGCGTACTAACGGACCAACAAAATTTTTGAAATACAACCCCAAACAATTAAGATCCTACCACTGTGATTCACAGTTTGCAGTACATGATGCGCTTAGGCTTAATTTGGGTCTTTGAACCAATACCATGCCCGACCATCTGATTGAAAGCGATTAATTTAGTCTTGTCCGACCAAATAACATTCAATTGAAACTTAAAAATATGTTTTTTATTGCATTCTGAACGGCCTAACATATCCCAATAGGCAACGGTTCGGTTTTCGTGCGATGCATCGAAATGCTGCCACACTCGCACATGTATTTTGATCAAAATGATCTTTTGATCTTTTATTATGCCTTAGCGTTCAATTTGGCAATTCTTCGCCTCGCTATCTACTGATTTGCATTCAATTTTAATACCTTAAGCGCTTCTGTAATAGTGGCTGCATCGGTACTTGTTGCTAAGTTCACAAGATATCGTACCGTAATATTTTTTAACAGACTTCCTTTGTCCTTGGGAACACTTTAGGCTATATTTTTTCCAACTCTTAACATTTTTAAGTACCAAATTCCAAATTTTTTTGCCACTTTTCGTGCGTTTCCGCCTTTCCGCAGTAAATCTATTATTTACATTTATGGTTCCTGATTAACTATGTTATTTACTGGTGATCACTTCTTCAATAAATTACAATATAGAAAGAAGTCATCTGACTTCCAACTAAGTAAAAGATAACTGTCAAATGAAAAACTGAGAGTGAGTGCAAAACTGTAACATCTGCCTTAATTTACATTTTGGTCTGCTGGTTTTTTTATTGTTGTTGTATTGACTTCAAATCATTATGAGAGAGGGAGTAGGGACGTACCAAGAAGAATATTCAACAAAAGGATGAAAGTCGTTAGAACTTGGAAATATAGCGGTGGTTGAAACAAAAAGTGTTAAACCATGTTACAGTTTTGCTCGTCACTGTATATGTATGTGTATGTAAATTAAAGGAGAATAACAAAATTCGTTTATATTGAATGAAAAAAAGTTTCGCTTCTACTTAAAATATACTAAGTGGCTAGTTTTAGTTATATGTGTTTTAATACGAATGATTATTATTGCATACGTTTATGAATTCGAAATTAAGCCTAAATATGTAAGGTTTTTAAACCGAATGTCACACATTAGACATTTTGTGAAAACATGAGGATTCATTATTCTATCAAACGGGATGATGGCATGCTCAATCAGTCTATCGTCGCCAAAGCTGACCACCACCAACAAATTGCGGGTAGTAGCACATTCCATAAGAAAGCCCACCGCCCGGCGTGATTCCGAATACCGCTGATACCGCCGGTTAAATCTGGATTTATTGTATCGTTTCGTTCAGAGATGAGGGGTGCCGTCCAAGTTTGTTCCTCATCGACTTCGTTGACTCGCCGCTGACAATTCATCCACTTGCGTGCACTGAGTTTTGGACGTGGATGCGCTACCTCCATTACATCATCGTTGAATTCCCAGTAACCGTAGCCTTTGAAAAAGTATGTCTTACGATTGCTATACTGGAATGCAGCGTCTATGTTGTAACCTACTCCGCGCCATATCGACATATCTCGCGGGTAGTCCAGTTCAACTCTTCCGGTTTCGTCATCTAATCGCCAATATAAGGTGCCACTTGTAAAGTAGGTGCGGTTGTTATGGCCCCAAACGAATGCGGCATCTATGTGGGTCAATGACGGCGGCAGACCTAAAGAAGTGAGAGGTTGCGGGTAGCCCCGTACTAGCGTCACTGAATCGAAGACATAGTAATAGCGGCCTGAGATAAGCAAAGTCGGTTATAAATAAATATAGACAAACCAGAAAATGTGAAACTTACCTATAAAGAATACAATTTTTCGATCTTGATTCTCATACACGGCGTCAATTTTGGTGTAGTTTTCGGGCAATTGGGTCCACAAGCGACGAGTTTCGGTTGGAAAGCCTTCATAAAGACCACGATCTCCAATGCGCCAAAGAAACTGGATGTAGATTAGAAATGTGAATAAGTGATAAGAATGCTACGTATGTTTTAACATGCATACATATATCGTGTATTCCTTGTCAACCAGGTCCCCTAAATACATATTTTGAAAACGGATATTTTTTCAGCAAACTTTGCATAGATTGGCCCAAATTACACGAGGGGTTAAATTATCCGCGCAACAAAATTTCAAACAAATTACACGAATGTAGAAGATATGTGTATACATGAACAGAGGTTTGATTGTAAATGCATTTGTTGCTTGCATGTTGTTGGAGTTACCGTGTATTGATTTTGCAATTTTTGCGTATTTTTTACAACTCCCCTATTCCCATTTATAACTACAAGAAAGTGGTTTGCGCGTGTAATTTCTGCTCTCGTGTAATTTGACATGTGTTCTTTCATCTCAAATCTTTCCGGAACTATCTTTTTTTTGTTTCCAAATGGCGGACCACAATATCTCAAGCTTTTTTTGCTGACAGTCTCAGGCAGTATTTCCATACAAAGTACTATGTTCGAAAATTTTTTTTATTACAACGCTTTTATCAACTTGCAATGTTGTTTGTCCAGATACCTTTGCTATAATCAAAGTTCCTATAAAAAGTCTAGACATCAACCTCGTCGTAGCCTTCAAGTAATCAGAAATACCGCGTCCCAAGAGCAGCGATTTTCATTCAGATATATGATCGTATTTCGCCAACCCAAAAACATACCGCGTAACGTGATTGAATACCACATCAATTTTATGAGCAGATTGTGAGTCCAGCTTACTGTAGATTAATTCTGAGTAACATATTATGGTTTATAATATTTAACCAAATGTTTATTTAATAATATATATATGTATATATTTTAATATTGTCTGTATTCCAGAAAGTTACAATATCTTTTTATGAAATCACAGAAATCAGAAAAAATAGAAAAATCAGAATTTGAAACACGAACTCAATGAATTCTTGAAATTACATATAGTAAAGTATAAAAGGACTAAGTGGTGATACCACAATACTTTCCTTCCTCAATAAAGTGTGTTGAAAGCTGGTTTTAGTCTATTTATAGAAATGTTTTTGTTTTTTCCATCAATATCGATCAAAAAATAATCTCGTTCTCTTGAAAGGACCTTATGTGGCCCCGAATAAGGCGATTGGAGTGCTGTTAGTAATCCTTCTTCTCTCACAAAAACGTGAGTTGCTTTCTCCAAGGTTTTATATACAAAATGTTTGCTCTTAGAGTGGTTTGATCCATTAACAGGCTTAATATCCCTTATCTTTTTCTTCAAATGTTGTACAAATTCAGTATGCAATGCTTCGGGTGAATCCTCAAAATACTCCACAGGTAAGCGTAATGATGAACCAAACACTATATCACATGGTGCTAACCCAATATCTTCTTTAACACTGCATCTTATTCCCAATAGAATACTTGGTATCATCTCCGTCCATTTAGTTTCCCCTTTACAACGTAGAGAAGCTTTTAAAGTTCGATGAAATCTTTCTACTAAACCATTTGACTGGGGATGATATGCTGTAGTACGTATATGTTGTGAACCAATGAATCTAGCTAGTTCATTAAACAGCTGCGACTCGAATTGTTTTCCTTGGTCCGTAGAAATTCTGAGTGGTATTCCAAATCTACAGATCCAGTCTTGATAAAATGCTTTGGCTACCGTTTCAGCTCTTATATCTTTGAGAAAAATTACTTCAGGCCATCTTGAAAATCTGTCAACACAAGTTAAGCAAAACCGATATCCATTGGAAGGGGGTAAAGGCCCAACTATATCTATATTTACATGGTCAAACCCCTTTTCCGGTAATGGATACTCTGATATTGGTTTTATGCAATGACGAGTAACTTTTGATTTTTGGCAATTAATGCAAGACCTTACCCAATTTGTTACGTCTTTGTTAATACTTGGCCAGATAAATTTACTTTTAATTAATTTCAGCGAGGCTCTGGTTCCAGGATGAGAAAGGTGATGAAAATTTTGAAATACCCTGTTACGCATATCCTTGGGTACAAACGGGCGAGGTTTCCCGGTTGAAATATCACACCATAATCTATTGTTCATAACTTGTAATTTTTCTAAGACAAGTGATGAGTTTCGTGATTGTAATATACTTTGAATTTCGTCATCTTTTCCTTGAGACACAGCCAATTCTACTAACAAATCACTGGTAATTTCAATCGTTTCAATTCAAAGAAAATCTGCAACAACATTTTCCTTTCCTTTAATATGTTGAATTTTTGTTGAGAACTGCGAAATAAAATCTAGGTATCTAAATTGCCTTGGAGAAAAACTGTCTATTTTCTTTGTAAAAGCAAATGTAATAGGCTTATGATCTGTAAAAATGGTAAAAATTCTTCCTTCTAACATATAGCGAAAATGTTTGATACATTCATAAATAGCTAGTAATTCTCTATCATAAGCGGAATACTTCCTTTGGGGAGAAGATAACATTTTAGAGAAAAATCCCAGTGGCTGCCAAATTTCATTTTCCAATTGTTGAACTACTCCTCCAAGGGATGTTCCGGATGCATCTACAAACAAGCCTAATTTTTTATTTGGAGAGGGATGAGTTAAAAGGATAGCATTGGATAAAGCTTCCTTAATATCATCAAACGCTTTAGATTGATTTTCTGTCCATACTATTTTCTTGTATTTACTTGGCGAATTTCGTTGAAATTCATTCAATGGCTCTTGAAGCACTGCAATATTTGGAGCATATACTCTATAAAAACATCAATTACCTTATTAAATCTAATTTCGTCAGTAGTTATGTTATGAATTTGAAATTTTCTCTCTAAAATTGCAAACCATAAATTCGGATCATCTTTCCAAAAACTAGATACTGTTAATATTTAGTCGATTTATATTCCAAAGATTGCGAGCTTGATGTATTTCGAGATGTAAATTCAAATTGAGCGAGACGTTCATTCAAAACTAACATTTCATCTTGCATACTTTTGAGAATATCTCGCATTTGCTGCACATCCATGTTACCCAAGATGGTTTCAACGGTAGCTCCTATTGCTGAAGATCCGGATTCAATGGTGGGTCCTATTGCTGACGAACCATTAAATTGTAATAAATTGCAATCCTCGAAAACGATAGTTCCTCTGTATCCGAATTCCTGTAGTACTTGTGAAAAGTCTGCGTCATTATTATTTTTACTAGGAAAACGTTCCTTGAAAGCTGCCTCCAATCGAATAAGCTTATCAGCCTTTGTTCCAGAAATTGATTGGTCAAATTTAGGCAGTAAGAAATTTAATTCCTCTGCGTGAAAATGTTTTGTTGTCATGAGGTCACCAATTATGGTTTATAATATTTAACCAAATGTTTATTTAATAATATATATATGTATATATTTTAATATTGTCTGTATTCCAGAAAGTTACAATATCTTTTTATGAAATCACAGAAATCAGAAAAAATAGAAAAATCAGAATTTGAAACACGAACTCAATGAATTCTTGAAATTACATATAGTAAAGTATAAAAGGACTAAGTGGTGATACCACACATATTATAGGCAATATTAATTGAATGGCAGGAATTCCTTTATTTTATTCGAAAACTGTTTGAAAACGTAATGTAATGTAATGCTTTTATTTTTAATGGAGATACTGCGAAACGGGATTTTTTCGCAGTAACACACAGCTTTTTGTTCGAAAAAAGATACGAGCGTTAGGCATATTATATTTCAAAGTAAGTAATTGTGCTGCCATTTCTTCTATGAGGCGATTTCTTAGAGGCTCGTATATAAGTCCGGCTGCACTGAACAATTGCTCACTTGTAACGCTGACGGGTGGAGCGCTCAAATATTTGCGGACAAGATCTGTCATTTTGTCGTATTTTAGTTTAGTGTTCCACCAGTCGAGAGGATTTTCACCTAGAGGAGCTCGTTTTTCTTTAAGATAGGCCTTCAATTGAGGTTTAATTCCATATTTTTTAATGTCTCCAGATTCTACATTCGAGGCTTCGCTTTCGCTGGAGGAATTTAAAATTATTTCAAGGTTGCTTATAAAACTTTTAGCAGAACTTGGTGAAGGCCCATCAATGTTGCTTGATATACTACGGTTATTGTCCGCACACTGGTTAGACAGACTTAGGGCTGATTACTCAATGTCTCGTTAAAAATAATCTTTGATTAAACATCGTTATCGACCTTACCAACTCCCTGTTATATACATGCAGCCGAAGATGTCGATAACGATGTTCAACTGGAGATTAGTGTTTACCAGACTTTGAGTAACCGGCCCTTAGAGCCATTTCAACAATATTAGAGTGGACTCTCTGCCCATGTACACAATCGCATTCGCAAAACATTCGTATCATTTGATGTCAATGCGAATGTGTAAAATGATGCGATTCATTCGCATAACGAATGCGAATGCAAATATTCGCAACATCACTGGTATGTGCATTCATATAAGCATGAGTGTATGTTGAAAGAGAATATAAAGTCTGATAAAATACAGTGCTTATGTATCGGAATTTCGTTCNGCATAACGAATGCGAATGCAAATATTCGCAACATCCCTGGTATGTGCATTCATATAAGCATGAGTGTATGTTGAAAGAGAATATAAAGTCTGATAAAATACAGTGCTTATGTATCGGAATTTCGTTGAATTATTGATCTGTTTACATCTTTGGTTTCGGTAGGGGTAAAATTTGCGAAGATGTAATGCATAGCCCAGCAAACATTTTTGAAGACGAACACATGGTGTTTGTCTCAGTGGGTGAATTGGGTGGAGTGACTTGGGAACCACATGGGGTACGGGGGCCCTGTGTTGGTAATCAGTTTAGGACCAGTTGGTAACTAGTTTTTGGGGGCAGTTGGTATTCAGTAATATGTAATATCTATTGCAAAATTTTATACATACAAGACTAAAAAGTAGAAAGTAAATGGACTGCTGAGTGGAAGATCGACCTATTTTNGGTTTCGGTAGGGGTAAAATTTGCGAAGATGTAATGCATAGCCCAGCAAAAATTTTTGAAGACGAACACATGGTGTTTGTCTCAGTGGGTGAATTGGGTGGAGTGCCTTGGGAACCACATGGGGTACGGGGGCCCTGTGTTGGTAATTAGTTTAGGACCAGTTGGTAACTAGTTTTTGGGGAGCAGTTGGTATTCAGTAATAATGTAATATCTATTGCAAAATTTTATACATACAAGACTAAAAAGTAGAAAGTAAATGGACTGCTGAGTGGAAGATCGACCTATTTTGGCAGCCAGTTCGAAAACGCACTATCTCAAAAAACTTTTCAAGAACGCCCTATTTCAGAATTTAGTTGAAGAACGCTCTATTACAGAATTCGTTTCAAAAACGTCCTATCTCAGCTGCCGATTCAAAAACGCCCTATATCAGCACATTTTCAATACATTTTGAAGTGGGATAGGGCGTTTTTGAACGGAATTCTGTGATAGGGCGTTCTTCAGATAGTTTGGTCCGCCATTTTGAAACAAAAAAAATAGTAGTTCTAAAATAATTCAAGATGAACGTTAAAGATAATAATATTATGTGCAAAGTTTGGTGAAGAAATATCCGGTTTTGACATATGTATTTAGGTTGACAAGTTGACATGAAATCCACGATATGTACATTTGTATGACGAATATTACCTGTCCACGAAATATGAATATTTCGCGTCGAATAATGGAAATGGCATCATAACTGGTTTGACACGTGTCTGGCTTTAATTTTTTAGGCTTCGTTGGGTGACGACGCTGCGACCAATTTTTAGTTGGCCGTGGCGGCGAGTCGGTACGTGGTCTGTACGTGGTGGTAGTGGTACTGGTGGTTACTGGCTCACGATTGCGATGATGTGGATTATAGGGATACTGCCGCCGTGGATAGTAGGGATCGTAGGATGGGTATTGTGGCTGTTGTGGATATTGTGGGTAGTAAACGAGAGGACGCCGCGTTGTGGTTGTTGTGGTGGGTGTAGTTTGTGGGCGTGGTTGTGGTTTAAATGGACCCCAGGTCTTTTCCTTAGCGCCGTACAATTGTTGAATGGCATAACGATCATCATCGGGTAGATTAATGTCTACATCATTATCGTGGTACCATGGGTACATAATGGCATTTTTGTCAGAAGAATGTCCTAGGCCCAAAGAATGTCCAAACTCATGAACTGCCACGCCGAGAAAATTTGTTGCTGAAAGTAAAACAAGATGTCGGACTTTAGTTTTTGAATAATTTATATGTATATACATATGTACATATGTATGTATGCAGACTGTATAGATGTTTTGAAAACTATCCCCACACTTTTAATAATATAGAACAGTAGTTCCCAATCTTTTCCAACTGGCGATCCAGCTTTCCATATCGTAATAACTCCACGGTCCATCGGTTCAAATCGGTTAAAAATAAATTTCAAACCGCCTGGCAGAAAAAGTTTCCTTTTAGCCTTAATGCTTCCAAAATAAAATTTGTTGGCGATCGGATAAATTTAGTGGCAGCGCACAGCCGGGAAAGTATGAAAGTGCGCGAAATGTAGAAAAAAGAGGTGTTTTATTCCCGATCCCATAAACGAAATTTCCTATCTAGAAAGCTATCAAAGTCTAAAATCCGTTGAAAAATTAAAAAGTTGCAGAAATAATATCAGCCAAAGAAATTTATACGGTTTGGATATGATTACACCGTTTGTCACAACAAAAATTCAAAACACACGAACCAATCACGTGTTTTTAGTTTTTTTTCTCTGACGTCAGGATTTTTTGAAAAGGACTTTCAAAAATATGATTGATCCAAAAAATTATTTAAAAAAATTCAGTGCAATGTGGAATAATAATATGGGTACCAAATAAAAGCGACAATTCTGTAGAATTAAAACATAAAGATTCCCAAGGTCGGATAGGTTTTGAAAATGCCCATTTAATCAAATTTAATTTTTTTTACGACGAAATTCGAGGATGTGGTCGATATACTAGTCCTCAGCATATTTATATAAATATATTTATTTTTTTTTTTTTTTTAATAAATAATGAAAAATTTCAAAATAGTATTTTTAATACTTACTCGTCGTTATGCACCAAAAATTTAAACTGTTTTAATTCTTCTACAAAATTTTATTTTTATGCTTTGAATCCAGCTCTTATGAAAAATCACAAGAAATATTTTTCATAATTTCTGTTGCTTTAAAAATCACTTGGCTTTTGAATTAAATTTTCTTAAGAGCTGCAAACTGATTTAAGAAATTTTGATAGCAGAAAATTTCTTTTCCATTTCTTGTGCGTTATTTTGAATTTTTCGTTTTTTTGAGGGCTGGAACCAGCCCATTATTCGATCCCCATATTGTGTTTCTACATTGCATAGAGTTTTTTTAAATTATTTTTTGTATTAATTGTATCTTTGATATTTCAAAGTCCTTTTAATAAAATCCTACGTCAGAGAGAGAAACTAAAAACGTATTATCCTTATTTTTGGCCCCTAGTTTCGCGAATATATTAATTTTTTTCTGTGCAAAATTGACTGTTACTCGGTGTTACAGTTGAGAAAATTGTCATCATGATACAAAAATTTAAAGATAAGACCGATAAGAGGCAGCCTGAACATTTTTGAAGTTCGCTAACATAACAAAAATGTTTTAAAGCTCAGTTATGCAAGACTTAGACTTGACTTGACTTGACTTGAAAATTGAATATCTGGCAATTGAGCAACGCGTGTATGTAGTTACCTAAATAAACAACTTCACTTAGAAACTTGGAGAACTATATATTTTGCTTTCTAAGTTAAATTTCTAACTGCAAGTTAATTTTTTGATAAAATACTTACAAATATGCCATACAAACGTGATTTTTTGTATAAATGTAATTCATCTGGCAATCGAAAAACAAACTTTCAAATACAGACAGAAAATAAAATAAAATCAATCAAGTCTAAGTCTTGCATAACCCAGCTTTAAGTCTGCCATTTTATTTGGTATTTGAGTTGCTCTGAAAATTTAAATTTTATAAAACAGCAAACTTCTTAAATAAATGATGGCCGACGAATTTTGACTGAACGGGTTTACCTTTAAATACTTGTTTCATGATTGTTATTAACAGAGACCTAAAAACCTATACAAAAGGCAAAATAAAATAGCAAAATAAGCAGGAAAAGGCACTAGATATCGCAAAAAAGGCAAAATAAGGCACTAAAAAAGACAAAAGCCGAAAAATAACCAAAAAATACATTTATTTTAGAAATGTTTATTTTACAAGTGAAAAGAGAATAACTATGAACTAGTTTCATTATATGAAACATTTTTACTTTGAATCTTTGACTATTTTCTTCTTTCGAGTATTTAATTCACAAAACTTTAATCTCTATAGTGTTAGTAACATTGAAGCACAAGATGCAGTTTGAACTTTTCCGGCATCATTTTCATTCGATTTTCGCAAAGAAGAGCCTTGAATGCACTAAACGTCCGCTCGACGTGAGTTGATACAAGTGACGCCCAATTTAAATATGGAACGTTTAAAACTTTCCTATCATCAAGAATAAAGGCCTTTTTCTTGACAATTTAATTTACAATTAAAAGTAGACAAGGCAAAAAAGGCAATATCTTAAAAAAGGCAACATGAAATGTGTATATATGGAATGAGGGAAATCTATTCGTGTACGTACTTAATCGAGTATGCTCTATCTCTTTAGCCAAAGAAAAGGAAATTTCCATAAAATCCGTTCCCTGGTTATTACAATATATATCAATATGTAAAATTGCTGTTTTTAAGTAAGAATACAATCTCAATGTCAGGATTGAATGGAGATGTCATTAACCTTATGTTCTTCTTATCTTTTCTGATAGTTTATTCAATTGTTTCTGATAGTTTTTGGATCGATTCGCGACCCCCTTGAAATCTTCCGCGACCCACCGCACAATGTAGTAATTTTTGTCGATATTGGAGATTAATTCAAAAAATTAATTTCAAAGTACAAAGAAGTATTTAGTACCAAATGAAAGAAGATAAAATTATACGTCACTACAATATTTGCCCAAAAATTTACCGTTTTCTTGCAATATACTCTTAAAATTGTCGCTTTTTCTTTTTTATGTGCGCAAAGTTATAAACGCTATTTAATATTTCATATTTCCAAGCTATTTCTAAGTTTTCTTTAAAGATAAATCAAAAACGGCAATGAAAGCTTCTTCAGGTATTCAGGCAATACAAAGTGATTTTTTACTATATACGTATACAGGGGCGCACCCAGGAATATATTTTAGGGGGGGTTTTATATTTCTGAAGATATATCACCGGAAAATACTGAAAATTTTCTTGATAATACGCTCTTTAAAATACATTTATGCAAGTTTTATGTACAGTATGTAATAAATAAATAAACGTTTTAAAATTCATAAACTGCACTTTATTTACATAAGATTAACAGAACTCAAACACTTTTAACCGACTTCAAAAAAGGGGAGGTTATCAATTCGCCGGAATACATAACTTTTTTACCACGTGAACCGATTTCAATAATCCTTTTTTTATTGATGGTACCTCGAGGGTCGTCCCGTAATTTGGTTTAGAGATCCGATGATTGGATCATGAAAAAATTAACGGTACCCCTAAATTTGTTTATGAGAATTGAAGTCGGTTGTGTTCTTTCCTTAAAAACTACTTGTTTAATAAAAAGTTCTATAAACTCAAGATGCGCTCAACTTTCAAAAGTACCTAATAAAAAATTTTAAAAAAGAGTCAGTAAAAATAAATTTATTGATTCCATGAATTTTTGCACTTTTATGTTCATTTTTTCGATTTCTGGTTTCTGGTTTTCGATAGATGGTGATTTTTCACGATTGCTAAATTTTTTTAATATTTCGAGTTCCGAAAAAATTAACTGAACTCTCAAGAAAAACGAAAAATTCATATAAAACGACGGACGAGAAATGGAAAAGAAATTTTCTTCTACCAAAATTTCTTAAATCAGTTTGCAGCTCTCAAGAAAAAAATGCTCGTATATTTATTTCCTCATGAAAATTTACAGCAAAAGCAAAGCGCTTTTTCAAGCAACAGAAATTATAATAAATATTTCTTATAATTTCCTTGAGAGCTGGATTCTTAGCTTTAAGATACAGTTTGTATTTGAGGTTATTAGCTTTAGGGGGGGTTTGAACCCCAAAACCCACCCCTTGTGTGCGCTAATGTACGTATACATATAGTTGTAAAGTAGGTGAGATCAAGCAAAAGTGTTTTCGTTTACATATACCTTGAACATTATAGTTGCATTCTGTGAAAAAAAGTTGCGGCATGTCTGAGCACTTTTACAGTATATCGATTTATATAATATAACCTGGTTTAAATTGAACAGCTGGCTGATATTTGACTGGCTAATCTTAGCTTAAACCAGCCTCGAGCGTTTGAACTAAGTTTAAACCACAGCCGTTTATTGAAAAACCGGCCCTTAGAATGGGGTTATTTATTTGTTTAATGATTTACAGGGTGTATGTGAAACCGTGAAGAATGATATTAAATACGCATTTTTAGTGTTAATTGTAATCCTTCTTATTGTTTATAGTATTGTTATTTCTACATATGCATGAATGACATAATGATAGCGATGATATTTTTTACTAACACAGTTACGGGTAGACGGAGAATGACAAAATGCCCCAACACTCCACAAATATTTCGTCCATGGGTCAGAGATAATATCCCACGCTTTGTTACCTATTTGTTTCGCAAGTGCAACAGAAAAAAGACGAATGAGGATATATTCAATCGATTTTTGATCAGTTCCAACCCGGTTATTCACCCCTAAAAATGGGAGGAGTTGCCGAAAGAAGCAAAATATTTGATAATTATGAAGAATTATAGAGATGATGAAGATGTTGATAGCGATGACAATGACGCAATCGAAGATGATGATTGTTTTTATTGGGGGTTATGTATATTTTTTTAACTACTTTCTGAGCTTAACAAAAACAAAGAAAATTTTTATAATGCGGATTCATTAATAAATGTACAAAAAATTACCTATAAATGATGTTTACTTTCCATGAGCAATTAACAAAATTATTATTACATTAGTTGGCAATGTGGGTGAATTAATCTGCTCTACGAAGAAATATTTTGAAAGTAGTAAGTGTAAGTGATGAGGTTGATGATGAAAATAATTATAATAATGATAGTGATAAAATTTAGTTTGTAATTAATGCTGAATATGATT